GGGATTAAAGGCGCGCGCCACCGCCGCCCGGCTTCTTTTATATTTTTTCCTGAGGTAGAGTTTTGCCATGGTAGCTCAGGCTGGCCCACTCACTCTCCGGCTGAACCCTGACTCTAGATCTTCCTGCCTTCACTTTCTGAGAGTCAGGATTAGAGAGATGTGTGCCACTATACCCTTGCATCTAGTACTCTCTGTAAGTCCTTATAGTTTAAACAATAGAGATTATATAGCTTTTTGTCTTGAGACACTCCCCACCCCCCCAAAAAAGGAAAAAGGCTGAGGCTCAGAAATAGGTCCATCCTGGACTTCCAGGCAAACTCTTATCTGAAAAAGAAGAGAGGAAAAGATTGAACCAGACATTACCCACATGACCATAATCCTAGTACTTGGGAGTCTAGGGTTATGAGTTAGGCTGGGTTATGTAGTTAGGGTGTCTCAAACAAAAACATAAGTAGTAAAGCTAGGAAGATGACTTAATTTTGACCAAGATAGTAACTAGGCTGACCTTGGCACGTGATGGAGATGCTCAAAGTGAGGCGAGTTTTTACAGATTTATCTAATGTACCTGAGTGCTCTATCTGCATGTACAGCTTTGGTGTGTGTGTGGGGGGGGAGCATTTTGAGACAGGGTTTCTCTGTAGCTTTGGAGCCTGCCCTGGAACTAGCTCTTGTAGATCAGGCTGGCCTCGAACTCACAGAGATCCACCTGCCTCTGCCTCCCGAATGTTGGAATTAAAGGTGTGTACCACACCGCCCTGCTCTGCATGCACAGCTTTATGTGGGAAGAGGGCATCAGATTCCACTGTATGTCATTGTGAGCCATGGAGCCATCTCTCCAGCCCCAGTAAGGCGATTTTAAGGCTATGATTTGATGAGTTCTTGGCATATTTATCCCAGTCCCATAGCCTTGAAGCCACAATGTAAAACATTATCAACCGTGAAGTTTTTGGGGCCTCAGTCAAGCCTGGCCTCTGCTTCAGCCTGTCTCTGTGGTTTGTGTAGCTTTGTACTCCTGTGTAGGAGAGCCACTGGCTGGCCCGCTGTGTAGCTAAGCAGATGTAAGTGGTGCCCTCAGGCCTGCTGTGGAGATTTGAGTGGAAAGGGTTGTTTTGTACCTTTTGGCTGTGGTTCCTCACACAATCCCTGGTGACTCCCTGACCCTGGGGCTTTTCTTGAGGCAGAGTAAGTGGCGCCTGTGGGTCCCATTTGTTGTCTCATTAAGTAAATTCTGGACTAGTGAGCTAAGAGCCCAGGGGCTTTAGTCACAGGTGTTTAGCTTACAGCCCTGGGGAAAACAACAAACAAAAGCACTGGTTCCGCAGATCCTTAAACTGACAGCTAGTTGATCTCAGGGTGGCTGTGCAGAGCATTGTCTACCTGCTCTAGGATGGGTCATATTCTACTTTTACTTGTAGTTTCATGAACAACTGGTAGCCAGCTGCTAAGTCTGAATCTAGGGTGCTGTAGGTTGTTGTTGTCTCCAGATTGCAGAAGCTTCACAGCAACCATTGCTAATCCAGGGCGCCTGAAAAAAATGAACCTTAGTCTTTGAATGTTTATAAATTACTGACAGGCTAGCCACAGTGACACATGGCTGTAATCACATTTCAGAGGCAGATTGCTGAAAGTTTCAGGTTATAAAGCAAGACTCTGCTTTATTCGAGGAAAAAATTAGTAACATCCTATTCAAACTGCATGTGGAGCTGAGAGCAGGTGTTTGGGGGCTTTTCTTTCTTCTGAGGTGTCCAGGGAGAAAGTTGATGCTTGCAGAAGTACAAGGGTACTTAGGATAGATGCACCTTTCTCTTACCTTCTAAAAGTGAGACCTGTTGCACAGTGACATCATTCTTAAATTTATGTTGCAAAGTTAAACATAATCGAAGCAAAAGAATTACAGAACAAAACTTACCTTAGTTTTTATATAAAAAAAAGCAAAAAAACAAAAACAAAAAAGCTACTGGTTACTACTCACTTGTTTGACTACACCTGGGAAAACAGAGGTCCTACTCAAAATCTCATTTTACAGATCAGAAAATGATCCCCAAAGAAGGAAGGGAACCGAGGGTTAGAGTCTCCCCATGCAGGGGAGCGGCACAGAGGCTGGCTCCACTCCACCACTGTCTCACCAGTTTTCTACCTCACAGTGGGAGTTTTCTGTCCTCAGACTTGGCTCAGGCAAGAATGAGCCTTATTTTCCCTATGCTTTCCTGGGAGCATCGCTGTGTATGAACTTCAAGGAGAATTTAACCATTGTGGCGCACGCCTTTAATCCCAGCACTTGGGAAGCAGAGGCAGGAGAATCTCTGTGGTGGAGTGAGCTTCCGGACAGTCAAAGCTACAGTGAGACTCTGGGGGGGGGGGGAGTGACAAAGTTGCCGTGTTATGGCTAACAGCTACTGCACACTTAGACCTAGGAGGAAGTAGAGTCTTGTTTGGCCTGCCAGCCTCTGTCCACATCATGGACCACACTGTACAGAGATGGTCTGGAACCACTGGAAATTTTTCATTAGAGGGTAGATGAGCGAGATACCTGGGAAGATACTCTTCTTAGTTGAATGCATTTAAGAAGTAGTATGCAGTGTGTGTGTGTGTGTGTGTGTGTGTGTGTGTGTGTACACTCATGCCACACGTGTATGCATGTGTTTGTATGGATACATATGTGTGTCCAGGTGCAGGTCAGTCTTACTCCTCAAGAATTGTCCACCTTGGTTTTTCAAGGCAGGGCTTCTGGTCCTGGAGCGCTCTGCCAAGGCCAGGCTGTCTGACCAATGAGCCCCAAGAATCTTCCTGTCTGAGTTTCCCCAGCACTGGGATTACAAGCATGATTCACCACGTTCGTTGTTTTGGTCAGTTGTGGATTCCGGGGGTTGTACTCAAGTGCTCAGCTTGACTTGGTTACTACTCAAGTCCTTTCTGTGGGCTTTAAAAACTATTATTCTAGTGTGTGATGTATATTTGTATGATCAGAGATGTGAGGTTCAGAGAATAATTCTGTGGAGTATGTTCTCTCCTTCTTCTGTTATATGACTCCTTGGGACAAACTCAGGTCTTAGGCTTATGTGTTGGGCTTCTGCCGCCAGTGTTGAGCCATCTCTTTTTAGAAAAAAAAAAAATGGTTTCAAGGGAATTGAAACTGTTCAGTTTAGACTGGCCTTGAACTTGTGGCAGTCTTTCTACCCCAGCCTCCCGACTTGTGGGGCCTGCTTGCTGCCTTGTATTGCTCTTAGAGCAAAGGTAGTCTTATATCTTGACAAAGACTTTGGATTTTGTTTCCAAGGCCTGGGCATTGGGGAGCATGTTGTACTTTGTTTAGTAAGTGTGGTGCCTGACCCATGTGGTACTGGCAGGCCAACGGTGAGTCATTAGCCTTCCCTTGGTATTGCTTTCTCAGGAAGTCTTTGAGAGCCGGGCGGAGCTGCACATGCCTTTAATCCCCACATTCAGGAGGCCAACCTGGTCTACAGAGCTAGTTCCAGGATAGCCAGAGACACAGAGAAATCCTGTCTCGAAAGACAAAAACAAAAAAAAAGAAAAACCACCAAAAAACAGAGAAAGAACTTGGGTGCTGAGGCATAGCAGACATGGCTTTTTCTATTGGAACCATAGAAATGCTAGACTTGAGCAAGAGGGAGGACCTGAGATTTTGGTCCTAGAGGCGGTTGTATTGGGACATCCAGCAGTCTGGGGTTCACTTGGGAGCTTTAGCTCTGAATGGACACTAGCTTCGGGTGTTTCCTAACCTCCCATTATTGATTTATAAGAGTCTGTCTCATACATAGTATCATGAGGGCCAAGTAAGAAGTCCATTAGCAAGCCTGCATCATAGTGGGTGCTTTACCCATGGTGAAGAGCAGCCGGCACATTGGCAGCAGGCTCTTCCTCCTTACTCCTCTTTACAGGGAAAATCCTGAAACGGAGGTAGTTCTCACCAGTAAGATCCCCAGCAGTCACTGAAAGGTGGTGCAGTAGAGCCCAGTGAGGATGCCTGCATCTGAAGCCACAGCTGGGAAACCCAACCAGCTTGACCTGAGTACACACAGTGTGAGTCCAATCAGATCTAAGGACCAGGCTGTGTGGACCAGGATGAGAGAGAGACCGGACAGCCCCAGGAGCACAAGTTTGGTTTAAAGGTGTGCCTCAGCTTTTGGTGATCAGGATGGAACTGATAAAAATAGTTGGTGACCTAGAACACTCTGTGTCTTTTTAAATGGAGTTAGCCAGCTTCAATCAGTTGTTTTTAGATACAGACGTTAATCATTAAAGCGGGTTCAGAGCTCCATTGCTAATAAGGTTAATGGGGCTTGGCTTTTGGCAAGGGGTAGTATTTGTGGACACCCTGAAGGAGTAGTTCTTATTAAACAATGCGTAAATTGGTTTTCCCTGTATTGAAATCTATTTTATAAAAATATAATTAGCAAAGTATCTAAGGCACCATTTTACCTTTAAGTGTGACAACCTTAATTAGAAAATGGTAAGGTTTTATCTGAATACTGTGTTGGAAATTGTGCTCTTACGCCATCGTGGCTTTGTGTTTTGCTTGTTGTCCTGGCTTTCTAATGCTTTGGTGGTTTAGGGGCCCCTGGAGCTCATTCTTTGCCTGCCAGTATCTGCCCCGCCCCTACTCTCCCTCCCTCTTCCAATGTTTGTCTCTTCTGGAAGGAGGCGGGCCGGGGTAGGCAGTGTGGGCGGAGCCCTGTGTGAGCTCAGGCTGTTTGTCTTCCTGCTGAGAAGGCCCAGGACTGACTGAAAGGCTGTTCTCAGGCTACTTCCAAACCTCATGTCATCATTGTGTTTGCTTCCGCCAGAGTGTCCTGGCCTGTACAAACCTAGGAGCAGAGAACAAACAGACAGACGTACCAAGGACAGACAGTAGACGGAGGACGCGCTGGCCGCTGGACCCCGCTGCCTCCCCTTCCTTCCCGCTGCCTGTGTCCGGAGGATGAGCCCAGCCTTCAGGACCATGGACGTGGAGCCCCGAACCAAGGGCGTCCTGCTGGAGCCCTTTGTCCACCAGGTTGGGGGGCACTCGTGTGTTCTCCGATTCAACGAGACAACCCTGTGCAAGCCCCTGGTTCCTAGGGAGCATCAGTTCTACGAGACCCTCCCAGCTGAGATGCGCAAATTCACTCCTCAGTACAAAGGTGAGCCCCCAGCTGCTAGCGGGGTCTCCAGGCTGCTAAGATGTAAGGCGCTTGGGCAGTGAAGGCCCTGGCAGCAGTCCTGGGAGCCCTCACTCCCTTCCGTTTACCCTTTTGTTTTCCCTTCTCCTTCTCTTCTTGGCTCTCAGCCCAGCACCTCACACCCTCAGTTTTCAAGCCCTGGGAAGATTGCTCAATTGTTCTGTTTTCTGGATTTGCTTTGAGATTATTTTTGGTGGAAGTATAGTTATTTTTCATGTTCAGGTATCTCCTGCTCAAGGTAACCCATAGTCCCCATGTGAGGACAATTCTGGAAGACTTTAGGAGGATTTTACCCAGAATTCTTGCTGCCTGCTTTTTGTCCTCCAGGAAACCAGAAGCCCTGGTGATTAGGTAGGCTGGGAGCAGGGTTGAGTCAGATGGAATGCAGGAGTGGGAGGATTGTGCTGATTAGCTCGAGTCCTTTGCTATTACGGAATGTCCCCAGAATTGCTGTATGAAGGCAACCCTTTGATTCACATGTAGTGACTTTTTCTTCTCTTTTTATAATGATGTACTTCAAGGGAACGTCAGTCACCAGTCATGGTTTGTTCTTTCCTGGGGAGGAGGGGGAGCCTTTTATAAATCAGAAGAGAACTTATTAAGAAATAATTTTAAATATGTATTACCAGATATAAAAAAGGCTAGAACAATTTAGATTCTCCTGTTCTTTAAAGACAGGATGGACTGGGTTTCCTTTCTACTTGGAAATGCATGTGGCGGGACTGGGGGTGTTGGGGACCCTCACTTGGTCCTTTTCTGTTATTTTTTTCAGGACAAAGCCAAAGTTCCCTTGTTAGCTGGCCACCCCTGCCCCGTTTTTATCCCCTTGGTCCTTCCTTATGCCCACAGGGAAGTGTGGTCCCCTGATACCCCCCTCGGCTCCTCTGCGCCCAGAGCTGGGGGCCACCTCAGAAGTGTCGTCTCTCTCTGAGCATGCATTTTCCCTGCAGCAAGCAAGCGGGCGGGCAGCAAGGACTGAGCAGATTGAGTGATCGTGGGGCAGAGAGGCCTAGAGGAAAGGTGTTCAGCCAGTCGGCTGTAAGGCGCTCGTCGGCACCGCTGAAATGCTCCCACCTGGCAGCCCCTTCCTCAGAGACTGTCTAATTACACATGGCAGGTCCTAGAGACTCGGAAGGGAGAGCTGCTTTCAAGGCTACCATGTGTCTGTGTTCCTGCCCCCTCATCTGCTGGTGTTCATTTTGTTCTTTTGTGACACAAATGACAAAAACCAATAAAAGCATAACTGAGGACAGAAGGCTTGGCTCGCCACCCTTGCAGGGTGCTAGAGAAGCCTTGGCCAGGGTGTCTGTGTTGTGTGGTTTGTTTGCTGCTCTCCTTTGCTTTGCTCACCCAGTCGTCCCTCCCCTTCAGCGCATTCCCCTGCACTCGGGCTCTGCTTTAAAGCAAGCCTCCAGGCCGTCGGAGTTTCTGTGGAGGACATACATTTCTTATGAGATACATAGAGTGATGTTTTCGTGTCTCTCTCAGGATTAGAAGAGTTACATAAAAAATAATAAACATTTTTAATGATGGAAAATGTGTCTTGTAATTCTTTGGCCCTTGCCTTCCCTTGTTGAGTGCACTAGAGAGGAAGTCTCTCGGCCATGTTTGCTCCCTAATTGCTTGTCTGTGTGGTGTCACTTTTTTCTAGCTGTTTTGATATTTGTTAGGTTTGCAGATGAGTTTGGGGCCTCTGGCAACATAGAGACTAAGGAACAGGGTAAGAAACAAAACAAATGTTACAATCATGTTATCTAGAATGCTTTTTTCTGTGGAAATAAAAGTCCCTTCTGCTCCTCACCCCTTTCAGGTGTGGTGTCAGTGCGCTTTGAAGAAGATGAAGACAGAAACTTGTGTTTAATAGCATATCCACTAAAGGGGGACCATGGAGCTGTGGACATTGTAGACAATTCAGACTGTGAACCAAAAAGTAAGCTGCTAAGATGGACAAACAAAAAGCATCATGTCCTAGAAACAGAAAAGAGTCCCAAGGAATGGGTGCGCCAGCACCGGAAAGAGGAGAAGATGAAGAGGTGGGTAAAGCTGAGAGGATGTGTTGGGGCCTTGGTTAGAGTCTGGTTCCATGCAGCTAGGAGCTCCTGCTGGACCTGTGTGTAGGAAGTTCACTGCTGGTCCCACATGCCTGCTGTCTCTGATTGGCTCTGGGTTAGGTCATGCCATTTTGCATAAACAGCTGAGTGGCAACTATAAAGGATTGACTCATTCCTTCCACAGCTGCTTTGTGCGTGGCCACAGGCAGACTGAGCCATTGCTTTACCTCAGGCTGCTTGCTGATGGTGGGGACAAAGGCATCAGTTAGCCTCTGCTAACATGAGGACCCGTGTGGGCAGGACAGGTTGGCAGAACTTATAAAAATGTAAAGTGTGTGTGATGTGGTCAGGTAGATGAACTGATCCCAGTGCAGTTTCACTTCGCGTCTCCCTGGTCTTGGAATCAGGAGACTGCATGTACCAGAGGCCAGGGGTCTATTGCCTGGAAAGGGGGAATAAAGACTGTCTGCCCATAAGCTGGGGGGGAAGACCATTGTTACCTCTTGCTATAGAATAGCAAATTAAAAACTTTAAATTTTTAATCAACTTTCTACAAGCAGATACATGATAAAATGCACCTATTTAAATATCTGATGAGTTTGGGTAGACTGTATATTTTAACCATAGCAAATAAATATCCATCACTCTAGAAAGCTTCAATATTCTTTCATATTTAATTTTGATAATACATTATGATTTATTGAATTTCTTTATAGTCATAAGTTAGAAGAAGAATTTGAGTTGCTAAAGAAATCTGAAGTCTTATACTACAGTGTAGAAAAAAAAGGAAATATAAGTTCCCAGCTTAAACACTATAACCCTTGGAGCATGAAATGTCATCAACAACAGTTACAGAGGATGAAGGAGAACGCGAAGCATCGGAACCAGTACAGTATCCTTTGTCGTAAGGCATTCCTACTCGGGGAAACGAAGAGAAGCAGCAACGAGGGTTCCAAGAGAGAACTTGGGGACTTGGTTGTTGTACAATAGCAGGTCTCTGTATAGCCCCACTGGACTAGAGCACTCTTTTCTCGTTGCTGGGATTACAGGTGTCTGCCACTACCCCTGCCTGATGTGTTCTATTTTGGGATGAGGCTGTGTATGCTTCCGCACACACCACAGCATCATATGTAAGATCAGATGACAACTTTCAGGAGTCCGTTCTCTCCTTCCACCAAGAGGTTCCAAAGATTGAACTCACTGAGCCATCTAATGGGCCTGGTTTGGTTTCATGTTAGCTCTGATTAATTTCCACATTAGAGTTGTGCCCAGGATAACCCTAGGTCGATGGGTTCTGCCATCTCCCTTGCAAATAGAACCTGTCTCAGAGTCTAAGTAAAGGAGCCTAACAGACCTCTGAGAACCTTTGCCTAGGTATTTCAGTCCCCGTTCACCAGTCTGCCGTACAAACCACTAAACTCTCATTCCCTGGCCTCAGATTTTCTTTGTTTTGTGCAGTTCTGGGAGTCTAATCCAGGGTTGGATTTGGCAAGGATTGGGGACACAATGTGTATAGAGATCTGGGAACAGTTTGCACCAGTCTGTTCTCTCCCTCATGTGACCCACTAAACAACCTCGCTGCCCACGCCCAGGGTCTCTTTGTTTTTGTTTTTTTTTTTTTAATTTTATGAATTGAAATTCCTGAGAATTTTCTTAACCTTTACTAGGAAAGAAATGTTAAAATTGAGTTCCTAAGTGCTGTTCTGCAATGTTCCCTGAGACTTAGGGGCCAGAGTTGTTTTGTAGTTGTATCCATTGGGACTGGGCGCCACAACTCTGCATTTTGACTGTTGTAGCCTTCAAAGAAAAGCTTCCTTGATGAGTAAGTGCTTATCACTCAGAATTAGACATTTACCTACTTGAATCATTAACCTCCTGCATATACCCAGTGCCCCACAACTGACATTTTTAAAGTTCTTTTATTTTTGAGATTATAATTACATCGTCTCCCCCTTCCCCTTCTTCCCTCCAAACCCTCCCATATCCTCCTCTTTGCTATCTTTCCGATTATTGACCTGTGTTTTTCTTAATTGTTTTGTTACAAACATGTATGTATATACGCATATTCCTAAATATAACCTGCTCGGTCTGTAGAATTTTACTTGTATGTATAGTTTCAGGGCTGGCCATTTGGTATTGGACAACAGTTGGTGTGCGCTTTCCTGGAGAAGACTGTTTCACTCTCAGCATGCCTCACTCACCTGTGCGTCTTTGTGTAGCACTGAGACCTTGTGGGCTTTGCCAACCGTGTTCTCTTTCCCGTGTCTACTGTTGCTGTCCTTGTTCTGCTCATGTTTGGCAGTCATGTTGGTGAAACTTGATAGGTGTGACTTTGGACATTGCTGGGAGACAGTCTCACATCAAATTCCCTAATCTTCTGACTCGTATGGTCTTTCTGTCCCCTGAATTTGATTCTGAAGCAAGTCTGATATACGTGATTTTATCTGTTTTTACCCGATTATATATCCATAAAAGGTAAAGATATGAGGACCAGTTTGAGTCCCGGCATCCATATAACAACAGCTGGACTGTAATCCCAGTAGTGGGAGGGAGACAGGAAGATCCCTGGAGCTCATTAGCCAGCCACACTAGCTGAATCATTAAGTACCCGTCTCAAAAAAGAAATGTGCAGAGTGATTGAGGAAGACAAGCGTGTCAGTAACTTCTGCTCTTCGCACGTGCACCTACATGCATGTGCATGTACAAACACAGCCACAAAGATATTTTTTAAGAAAAGGATATTTTGGGGCTGGAGAGATGGCTCAGTGGTTAAGAGTATTGCCTGCTCTTCCAAAGGTTCTGAGTTCAATTCCCAGCAACCACATGGTGGCTCACAACCATCTGTAATGAGATCTGGTGCCCTCTTCTAGTCTGCAAGAATACACGCTGACAGAATATTGTATACATAATAAATGAATAAATGAATAAATAAATATTAAAAAAAGAAAAGGATATTTTAACAATACTATTTTACTTCTCAAAAATAGTAATTCTTTTATATAAAATAACTTTTGCTGCACATGCTGGTCAGCACATCTTTAATCCATCATTTGAGGTGAGGGGGGAGGGCAGAGGCAAGTGGATCTCTGAGTTCAAGGCCAGCTTAGTTTACAGAGAGAGTTCCAGGACAGCCAGGATTGCACAGAGAAAACCTGTCTCAAAAGAAAAAAAAAAGAAAAAGGAAAAAAAGAAAGAAGAAAATGCCTATTTTCATGTTCTTACTTCCCAAATTGTGTCTGTAAACGTGTTTTTATTGTTGGTCTGTTTGAGGGAAGATCTGTATAAAGTTTATGGGTGGTGTTGGATTGAAGTGTTGGAGACTTAATATATTACACCCATTTTTTTCTTCTTGGAGATTTCCTGTCAGAATAAACAAGGATCAGTGATAGGGCGACATCTCAGGTGGTTAGAGATAGGGCTTTGTCTGCAAGCATGGAGACCAGGGTTTGAATCCCAACACCCACAGAAGATCTGAGCACGACTGCTCAGGTCTGTAGCCCCATTGATGTGGGGCAGAGACAGGAAGACCCCTGGAATTGCTCACCATTTGGGCTAGCCAATTAGTGAGCTCCAGGTTCAGTGAAGAAACTTGTCTCAAGATGTAAGGTTTGGGAAGTGATAGAATAAGGTACTGGACATCTGGATTTCTTTTGCACTGATACATGCATGTGCATATTAGAAAGGCATGGAGTTTTCCATGGTCTGGATTTTACTTAGTACACCTCTATGGTATCTTGTACATATGACCCACTCCTCTCTTTCCAATAGGCTGATAACTGGATCTAAAGACTTGATCAGATGCAGGTTCAATTCTAGGGCTACAAGCAAGAATCCTTAAAAAATGGTATTGTCCATTGGGAAACATGATGTTTAGCTTCATTTTTCAGTCGTTGGTTTTGAGCCACCTTTTTCATTAGATGGCTTCCTAATTTTGTTAGTCATTGACTGGAATTTTACAAAGAATAATCTTAAGGTACAGTTGGGAAGAGATTAAATGCTCATTTTTCTTTATTTACCAGATGTTTGGAATAACTTATCATTCATAACATGGGTGACCTGAGGCTGGTCCCATGATGGGCTGTGGCAAGTCACCTGAGGCTTCACAGTCCCTTGGCTGGTGGGAGACAAACAGATAACGGCATGCAGAGAGAGCTTGTGTAGAGTTTCTTTAGTGGGTATTGGAATGGCATAAGAGTAAGGGGTTATGGAGGTTATGGAGAGAGGGGAGAAAGGGGGTGGAGAGGCAGGAGGCAGGAGCTCTACTTGCCCCAAAGGGTGGGCGGGAGATTGGGAGTAGGCAGAGCTTGTCTCTTAAAGGGACAGGGTACCCAGGTGACTGGCCAGGCCAGCAGATTACAACGTTCCTGCCTTTCTCTTACAATAAAAAGACGGGAAGTTAGGCATGGAAGATTAAGGGGATTGGGATGGCAGGTTCTCAAGACTGCTTCCTGCTTATTTGTGGGCATCGAAGTCTTTCTTTGGAGGCCTGAGAAAACTGGGTGCTGGTCACATCCTAGGGTAGCTGGTCGCTTTACTCCTGTCCAGGATTTGTGGGGTGGAACTGTCTGGTGTCTCTTGGACTGGCAAGTTGTTGGTAGAACAGAGGACAAAGTTAAGTTTAGGAAGAAAAAATTTTTTAGTACCAGGAAATTGAGAGAGCAGTATCCAACCTGTTTAAAGTGGGTCTTTCAATTCAGCTCCCTGGAACTCACAAGAATTCTTTGAGTTTGTGAAAACATAAGTTTTAGACTCTCTCTCCCTTTAAAAAAGCGGCTACTTCTTCCTCTCGCTCTCTTCACTTCCTGCTCCGCCAGCGACTAGACTCCCTTCCTGGTTGCGCAGAGGGCTGTTGTCTGGGACGGTGATCTGTAAGTTTTTTCCTCTTTAAATAAATACCACCCTATTAATCATAATTCCAAACTGGTATGGCATTGTTCGTGACTTATGCCTTCATGTGTATCTTTTGGCTGGGAGCCCTAGGCCTGTGTTGAGTTCAGATACTGGCTACTGTTATTTATGCTAGTTCCCTGGCAATTCAAGGGGACCTCTGAGGTCTCTCCTCAGCTCTGAGCTCCCTCTGTGGAAGACAGCATAGCTAATGAATGGGGTGTCCTGTGGACTTAGGCTTCTGTAGTCATTACGTGCAAACACTTGCCGTTTGAGGTATTGTCCGTAACTGCTCAGAATTTATCTTACTGGAGAACCTAACTTCCCGCTATGAGGTGCCTTGTGTCCTGGACCTCAAGATGGGCACACGTCAGCATGGCGACGATGCTTCGGAGGAGAAAGCCGCCAACCAAATTCGAAAATGTCAGCAAAGCACATCTGCAGTCATCGGTGTGCGTGTGTGTGGCATGCAGGTGAGGAGAGTGCACCTCCTAACAAAGATTACAGGTGTCCGATGGCTGTCCCCAAAGAGTTCAAATTTGGGGTCTTTCTCCTTTGGAAATTTAAAACTCCTCGCAGTCAGTTTTTCCCACTTTCCCATAATAAATACATCTGGTGTGCTTTATTTAAAACAACAGCAGCAGATCTGGTAGGGCTGCATCTCATGTGGTAGAGTGTGCACCTAACACGTGAGGCTGTGGCTTCAGTACCCAGTACCAAAACCTAAACAAACCAGATTTGAGTGAGTTGAAGATATAGCTCAGGGCTGGGGAGATGGCTCGGTGGTTGGGAGCGTTGCCTGCTCTTCCGGGGGTCCTGAGTTCGGTTCCCGGCGACCACATGGTGGCTCACAGCCATCTATGATGGGGTCTGGTGCCCTCTTCTGGCCTGCAGACGTGCACACAGACAGAGTGTTGTATGCATAATAAATAAATAATTTTTGAAAAAAAAAAAGATATAGCTCAATGGTAGAGTATTTGCTTTGCATACACAAGGCCCTGGATTTGATCTCCAGAACAGACATGCACACACACAAATTATAATTTTTTTTTAAAATCCACATTTGGTCTTACCTGAGCCTATTGCTTTCTGGTTAAAAAAGAAAGTGTTTATACCTCGTTGAGCCCTCTGAGTCTAGTCTGGCTGTCCGAGTCCATATCTGTGTATCCATATACTAGGATATAAAATTAAGCCACCTCTGTTGATGTAGTTGCAGAATAGCGTGGACTAGATCCTAGGTCATGGGGCATAGTCTGGGCGGGCACTGATCAGACAACGCTCCTGTTTGACTACAGGCCACAAGGTCCCATCACCCTCCTTCATGTAATGGTGAGGTCTTGAAAAGCCTTTTGACCCCGACTTGCTGATCTCTCCCACAGGTATACCAGGCAGGCACTGGGCAGCTCATGTTCATGAACAAATACCATGGGAGGAAGCTTTCCGTGCAGGGTTTCAAGGAGGCACTTTTCCAGTTCTTCCACAATGGGCGGTACCTGCGCCGGGAACTTCTAGGCCCTGTGCTCAAGAAGCTAACCGAGCTCAAGGCTGTGTTGGAGCGACAGGAATCCTACCGCTTCTATTCAAGTTCCCTACTCGTCATTTATGATGGCAAAGAGTGGCCAGAAGTGACCCTGGACTCAGATGCTGAGGACTTGGAAGACCTCTCTGAAGAGTCGGCTGACGAGTCTGCTGGTGCCTATGCCTACAAACCCATTGGTGCCAGTTCAGTGGACGTGCGCATGATCGACTTTGCACACACCACCTGCAGGCTGTACGGCGAGGACAGTGTGGTACACGAGGGCCAGGATGCTGGCTATATCTTTGGGCTCCAGAGCCTGATAGACATTGTTACAGAGATAAGTGAGGAAAGTGGGGAGTGAGCTTGCTGGCTATTTCAGTACCTGAGAGACTCTCTGTGTCCCCTACAGCTGTGCTGTCGGGGAGGCCAGTATGGCCAGGTGGTGGCCTCTGCAGCCTGGAGCTGATAGACAGTGGCCTCTGTGAACCCCAGCCTGAGCCAGCCCCAGCCGTGCTCAGAGTCTTTATTTATTTTAACTATTTCTTCCACATTCCACATTTGATGATGCAGATACCTCTCTTCCCTGAGTGTAAATGTTCTAATACAGATCTTTTTGTTTATTGTATACAGTGATGCTGTCATTCTTTCTAAGCGTGCAGACTCCCACCCTGTAGAAGCCTCCATGTGCTGTCACCGCCCGGTCCGTGTTCCCACTCTAGGTTGCATTGAAGCCATCACAATGGTTTGGCTTTGTGCAAAGAGTCCCAGTTCAGCACCTTGCAATCATCGAAAACAGATATTCCCCTACGCTTATTAGCCAGGTCTCCGTGGTTCATGCTGGCTGGATCTCTACCATCCTTACATAGAAGTACAATTGGCATAAGTTTTCTCATAGCCCTACACAGCTTAAGGAGAAGTTGGACAACAGGCCTTCCAGTCCTTGGGTTCTTGATTTCTCCTAGGTGTTGGCAGCAAGTAACTCATTGTCTAGACATAGTAATCTCAAATATCCTGGACCACATGCAGGGGTCTCGAGCCGGAAGCCCAGGTAGAGGGCATGCAGGGTGCTCTGGGCTTCCCCTGCCACCACTCCTGCCCAGCAGTCCTACCATTGTGCAAGTCTCGTCTTCGCAAAGACCTAAGGTCCACTACTGCCGTGTGCCTGCAGAGCTTCTGGAGCAGGGCAGGGGGAATCAAAACTTGGCAGAAACAGACTTGGTATGGAGAAGCCAAGGTCTGATGTCAGATTCTTGTCTCAGCTGAACCTTCCGACAGCTCTCCCAAGTCCCATTAGGCCTGCTTCTACCATGCCCAAACAAAGATGAATGAAGGCTAGGTGGGGTTGGACTCAGGAGCAGAGGCAGTGGGATTGCTGTTAGTTTGAGGCCAGTTGGGGCTGCATAGTGAGACCCTAACTTTAAAAAAAAAAAAAAGAAAGAAAAAAAGGAAAAAGGCACACACCCTTAGTCCCAATACTTGGGAAGCAAAAGCAGGAGAATCATTGTGAATTTGAGGCCAGCTTGGTCTACATAGTTTCAAGATAGCTAGAAATACATAGTGAGACCTTGCCTTAAAAAGAAATGAAAACAAAAAAAAAAAAAAACCACATTGAAGTCTGATGGTGTATGCATCCCATGCTCCCTAGATGCAGGCTTTCAGGGGAGAGTAGGCCACTCCAGCTCCCCTGATTCCGTCTTCAGCTGGGACTCAGGAATGACAGGCGGTTCAAAGATTTAGAGGTCTGGGCTGACTATAAGCTGAAGGTCAAGTTTGCTTTTTCTTTTTTGTACTTTTTCTTTCCTTTGAGACAGGTCTCACTGTGAAGCACAGGCTGATCTTGAACTTACCTTTCTCCAGCCTCTGCCTCCTGGGTGCTGGAATTACACTATCATTCAGAATCCAAAACACATTCTCCAAGCCCCATGCATTCAATCCCTACTGTGTTAGCCTTCTGCCCCTCACCCCTTTTTTTCGGGAGAGGGCCATTTGTGAGTTTGAGGAAGGAGAGCAAGGTTACATAACATACTGCCTTGAAAACCGGGAGATGCACACCCAGAGAGAGGAGAGGGCCAGAGAGAGATGAATGAATATGACCTCAAGATCATAGACTTGGAATCCTTTGTTACAACATAGCAATGATGGGTAGAAGAAGTTAGAGCTTGGTCCAGAAGCGAGTGCTCAAGCAGAGAACAGCTGCAAAGACTTGGGACAGCCAGTGGCCGAAGCGGGTGCGTGTGTGGGGAGCAAAGATGCCTTTCGGACAGTACGACCTGGTTTTGTCTCTCATCCTCCACACTTGTCCACCACCTCAGTGACAGAGCAGGGACTTGGTGCTAAGGCATTGTGAGGCCTAGACACGCTGAGAGAACCCCTCCCCGCGAGGGACTTCTAGGCGTCTGATCAGTATTCCTCAAAGCAAAGTGCCACTACCCGGTCTCGGGGGACACACCGGCTGCAAGCAAGCCCTGGGCGCCTTCCTCAGGAGGTGGGAAAGAAAGCAGTGCTCTCACCAGAGTGGGGAGGGAGAGGTTGAGGGGGGGGATAGCCAGGCAGAGGGAGATAGGACCTGGAACCCCCTGACTAGAGTCTGAGGTCCGTTCGTCTGGAGTCCTAGTAGCAACACCCCGCCCCGCCGAACCTCTCAGGGCCGCCAGGGGGCGCGGCGCTCCAATGCTGGAGCCGATTCACTCCCGGGGCGGGCTCCGGCGATCGAGCGTGCGCACGCGTGGCGTGTCACGGGGCGGGGCGGGGCGAGCGCAGCGCGCCGCGGCTCTCAGGGCCTGGCTTCCCGGGACCGCAACCTTCGTCGCGTACCCAGCCCCGGCGCTACCCGGCCCGGCCCCATGTACCGCGCGCTGTATGCGTTCCGCTCGGCGGAGCCCAACGCCATGGCGTTCCCCGCGGGCGAGACCTTCCTGGTGCTGGAGCGCAGCAGCACCCACTGGTGGTTAGCTGCACGGGCACGCAGTGGCGAGACCGGCTACGTGCCGCCTGCCTACCTGCATCGTCTGCAGGTGAGTGTGTCCCTCCCAGCCAGGCCTCTCGCCCGAACCCCTTCACCAGTACGCAGAACTGATCCAGGAAGCCCAGCCAGGTTCTCCAGGACTACTACCAGACAGGGAGTTTGAGAATCTGACCTTAAGTTCCAAGAGCCATAAGGACTGAGACCCCAGGAGCCATCAGCGCCCACCGAAGACTAGGCCTTTGACATCCAATCGCAGGCCTAGAAAAAGCTTCATTCAGAGACTGGCACTCCAGGCACCCCCGTATCCACAATCAGAGCCTCCATATAAATAGAATTCCTTAGCTGTACCCAGAGACTCAAGGCCCCAAGACCCTTATTATTCCCCTTTGCCAAGTCCCTAGGACTCCACACTCTTGTCTCCCTCCCCGCCCCATTTGGAGTCTCCACCTTTACCATGAAGACCACCGTGCCCTCCACGGACACGGTGCCATCTGATACACCACCTGTTTACCCAGTTCTCAACCCCAAACCCTACCCACACGCTTGGACCCCAGAGTCATAGGCATTCCATTCCTTATTTGACCCCCCAATTCCCGTAATATCTCTGTATCCCGAACTCACCCACCTGTCCAAGGACTTTTCCCCCAACCCTTTTGGAGGGAGCCAAGGCCCCTGCTGGCAAGGCTCCCTGGTACTGCCTCCACTTCCCCCAAACCCCCAGCCCTGACTTCTTGGGTTTTCCTTCCTCGGAAATCTGGGGAGCTCCATTCTGGAATGGGAGCTGCCCACACTGTGAGGAAGTGAGCCTCCTCCGTGGCTTCCCATTCTGAAGATGGCCTGGTTTCCTTCCAGTGGAGGCTGCAGCTCCAGTTCCTGTTTCCTCAGGAGTAGTCCTGCGGTTCTCCGGTTCATCTGTAGGAAGAAGGGGGGCCCAGAGCAGCCTGGCCTGTGCCAGGCTCCCGCCCTGCCCTGGACCCTAGCTATGGAAACATCCTGTCCAGTCCAGTCAAGGACAGAAATAATATGCTAAAGTTGGAACTGTGGTCTGGTCTTACAGAAGGGGAAGGGCCCTTGGCTCTGGGGGCTTCCTCACAGACCCTCAGTCTCACCTAGAGGTGCTTGTGTCACGCCCAGCCCAGCGTTCTGAGCACTGGGGTCTTGTTGGGGACCTCCAGGGGATGTCCTGCGCTTCCTCGGAGCCTGTAGATCTGCTGCCGCAGCCAGGCCAGTAGGGCTGGGAGTTCGGGGAGGCAAGGACGGTCTCTGCGCATCCCTGTCTCATTTTTACTCTACCTGGTGTTTGACTTTCTTCCTCCAGCTTTCCCAGTATGGCATGGAGCTGCGTCTTCCTGCTCTGTCTCTCACAGCCTGCCTCTGGGGCCTTCTCTCTCCACGTCTGTCATATTATCTGTGTATACATGTATTTTACTCTGTTTTTGCCTCCCCCAAACCCCTTGTCGTCTTGCCCCCTCCACCCCTGAACCTCTTAGGCTACATAAAGGACTTTGCAGACCCCTGTATCGATCCACCCCCATCAGAGGAGCTTCTTAAACTTTCTCTGGAACTAAGCGTGATGGCTCATGCCCACAGTCTCAGCATTTGGAAGGATTACCAGGAGTTCCAGGCCAGCCTGGGCTTCCAGTCCAACTTTGGCTGTACCGATTCTCATCTCAAAAAACCAGCCACCCGGCCAGCCAAAACAAACAACAGAACTCCACTCTGGAGTGTGTTCTGTTCTGCTCTGGGGTTCCTGTGTACCCTGGTGGGCCATGTAGGCTGGCCAGTCCACAGCTGTAACCCACATCTCCCTCATGCCTGACTGTGGAGTAGAAAGGACTCCTGGTTGCAGAGGATGACAATATAGGCCAGGATCCAGGCCTGTCTTTTGAGTTCCATCTTTACCACAGCACAGAGTGGCTTCCCAGAGGTGGACAGCTTGGGAGCATGAAACGGGAGGTTCTTTTGACACATTCTTCCCTTCCAGTTGTCTGGAAGGGCTTTGTGGGGACAGGGTTGTTTTGGAGTGTGACCTTGGTTTTGTGAAGGACCAGCAGCATCCAGAGAGACTGATTAAGGATTCTAGACACTGGAGTCTTCCTTTTGGCATCTCGCTCTGGGCTCTGAGCCAACCCGAGGATAGGCTAGGTGTACATGCCTGGTCCCAATCTAGGATTTCTATGCTTTCGTTCTAGACTTATGGTTTTCAGAAATGCCTTTGCCAAGAGTCCCTGTATGAGATAAAATCCTGGGGGGGGGGGGCGGGGATGTAAAGTGCCATCGCAGAGTCCACCCTGTGCCCCTGCTTTCTGAATTGTACAGTTTGAGCATTTCAGCCCATACTCCATTGTGGCTGTCTGATAGTGTCCACAATTCTAGGATTCAGTGGGTCTGCCACCTAGTTCCAGCCCAGGCTGGGTCTGGGCTGATCAACCCCACTTGGCCCCAGGTCTAACTGCCCACCTACCCTTAGGGCATGGAGCAAGATGTCCTCCAAGCAATTGACCGGGCCATTGAGGCTGTGCACAACACAGCCATGCGCGATGGTGGCAAGTACAGCCTGCAGCAGCGCGGAGTCCTTCAGTGAGTATCTGGGAGGTGACGGGAACACCGTGCCTGAGCATGGTGGTGGGTGGGCTCCCTTATGGAGCTAGGTTAGGATG